ACACAAGATCTAGATTTTTTACATTAGATCTAGATTTTTTACACTAGATCTAGATTTTTTTTCTTACACTAGAGGTAGGTTTTATAAAACTAGATTTAGATTTAAGTTCTAATTAAAATCATTATAGAATCTATATCTAGAATCTCTTGGTCTAGTTTAAAATGTTTGTTGTTTTAAATGTTTCGGATGTTCCTTCAGAGTTGTAGTCCAAACCTCCCGCAGGACGACGGGGGATGGGAGCGGGCAGGGTTTGAACCCTGGACCATCGATGAATCCAAACGATAGTCCAGCGCGCAAACCGCACTACCAGACAGCCATGATTTAGACTAGATCAAGATCTATAATTTTAATTTCTAGACTTTAAGTGTAGATTTTTATTTCTAAAGTCAAGATTGTCAATGTGTCAATATTGCAATGTTATAAAATACTAAAACTAATCTACTATTTTAATATTTCATATTGCAAATAAGTCTATTAATTGATTATATAGTGTTTTTTTTTTATATAAATCTTATCTAAATAACATCTATATTATCACTAATATATATTTTAGATCTAGATCTAGTAGATATAGATATTGAAAGTTTTAAATTATAAGTTTAATTTAGGTAGATCTACATCCTCATTCTAGTTCCATTTAAATGAAAATGCTCAATGCCTAAAGATTATCTAAAATCGCTCTTCAGACATATTGTACATATCCGGTAGTTGTCATTCCGTAATGTGTAGGTATATTATCAATAATAAGCTATTAGTTTGTAACCAGTTTGTCACTAGATTAAGAGCAATGCTTGCCGTGCGGTTAGCGCGCAGGGCTGATTATCTCTAAGGTCTCGGTTTCATACCCTGCTCGATGCTACGTGTACTTATGTATAAATAGGCCTATTATTTTAAAATACGATTTGTAGATTTAAAAAATTTATTTGATTATTTAAAAATTAATATTGCATTAACATAGGGTAAATAACATGTCTACAGATATATTTATGGTCTTAAGAAATCCTGTTATTTTGTTGTTTTTTTCACGTGTTATTAGCTTTGTCAAAATTAATTCAGTGGTTTCCTTCTTAGTAATCGTCTTTACCCTGATTATGCATTTTCTTTCGCCATTCATACAACACAATTACGTTGTACAATCATGCATACATAGTCATAATTAAACTCCTCAGTTTAAAGTAACAGTCTAAATTATTTAGATTACCTGCGAATGCAGATATTAATCCGATAAATTTATATTAGTAATAAAATAATTTAAATCATACTTTAATACTTTGCCTAAAGCAGTTGTAGTCAGTCTATAGAATGCCTATGCATTCTATACAATTACTAGGCAAGTAGGCGATGGAGAAATTACTTCTCACTTTGTCTTGCCGTTTATGGCATTCTACTTTGGCGGTAACATATAAATATCTTTCTAAATAAGACATTTTTGTACTTTGCCTGACGCAGAGCTAGTCATTCTATAGAATGCCCTGGCAAAGTATGAAAGGGAGAATCCTTTTTAGAAGGAGAACGAAGAAGAAGAATCATTTCGTACTTTGCTTCAAAACGCGTTCTAATGAATGACTGCACTTCGCACTTTGCCGGTAACATATATGTGTTTGTGCTGGTGTGTAAAAGTAGACGTAAAATTAACAATACATCTAGTTATGTTACAGAGAATATACACTGAAGGCCAGATAAATTTGTTTAATGTTTTTTTTTTTTTTTAAATGAAATATGAAACCCGCACAGAACAATATTGTCTTTTTAAACTTTAAACTCTTCATTGATAAATACATGAAAGCTTTGGATCATGATGATTTTATACCATGACAAATATATTTAAAAAATAAGATATGTATTAGTGTATAGTACAGGCATAGAGAGAAAGTTTATGAAAAATTGCTAACCAAAAGCAAACTACTAAGATCTGTTATGATCCTTAAAAGAAACCACATACAATGTAACCTGTACATTACCAAGTAGTATAACGACAATGTTACTACCATAATGTATCATCTGACCAATATGTTCCAATCCATAGTGCATGTTGATCCTATACTAACGGCCCAATGATCACACGGTCAAATGACCCTTAGTTCATACTCAGGTGAATTCGACTCATAAATGTGACTGTGTTCACACATTCGTGAAACTACTTAGCGATTTAATTACGGGTCATATCAAAGAGTGTGTCTCTTTTATCAGCACAATAGAATTAAGTACAAAATCATAATTAGGGTTATAAGCACCCTAATAATTGAATATAAATTCATTAGTGACCCATTCGTAACTTTTATTATTATATGTTTTATTGCCAATTTCGAAATGAATAGTGAGCTTATATAACTCACCGATAATCGATTTAACATATCAAACAAAAGAGTATTCAATAAAATTTTCATATACAGTTATTCATATAACAAAATATTACGTTATTTCAATAATTTAAATCTAATTATTTAATACTGCATAGTTATAAGTATTTAGCACTGTTTTGTTGAGGCGGCTTCAACAGTCTGTAGATGAGAGGCTCAGAGAAGAACAAGCAAGCTTCCGAAGAGGCAGATCATGTGCAGAACAGATCTTCGATCAACGAAATATCATAGAACAAAGTGTTGAGTACTAACAACGTCTAACGATCAGCTTCGTAGACTTTAAGAAAGCCTTTGATAGTGTCCACCGAGAATCACTATGGAAAATAGTTAGAGAATACGGCATCCCAGAAAAATTCGTCCAGATCCTACGACACTTATACAGTCAGTCTAGTTGCTGCTTTAAAACATAAGAAGGGACAACCGAGTTTTTCAGCATCGAGACAGGTGTAAGACAGGGGTGCATCTTATCTCCCTTCCTTTTCCTCCTAGCCATCGACTACATAATAAAGAAAGCAATGAATCAGACTGCCTTTGGTATTCCATGGCGTGAAAAAAAACGAAAGACAGACTTGGAGTTTGCCGATGACGTTGCACTACTCGGGGCTACAAATAAATGCATACAAGAAATGACGGAGAACCTAGATAGAGAAGCACCCAAAATTGGCCTTCGCATAAACTTAGATAAGACCGAAATTTTGCGAGTGGGTTATAAGACTTGTCGAGTCAAAGCTTGAAGAGCTGGACAAGTTCACTTACATTGGCAGCATCATAACAAATGATGGGGATGCCTACCATGATGTACCTAGATTTAGTGCATAACAACTTCATGAATAAGCAAATAGACTAGATGTAGCGACTAAAGGAGACCTTCGGCTTACTTTGGCTAATTCAAAGCTTGACATTTCTAATATTGTCAGACAGCAGGAGGCATAATTTTCAAATTAGCTTAATTTCTTTTTATAGTGAATTCAGCAACAATAATGTTTATATTTTTAAAAATTACAATTAAACATAAAAACATTAGGCCCTAAAATTCAAAAATTTAAAAGGGGACTATTCTTAGGATTTGAAAGAAATTAAAGAGAATGAGATTAATGTTTGTGTGTAATTACTGCAAATTATTTGACATTATTTTTGCACAATGATAATATTGGATGTTTTTGCCTTCGATTCCGAAGATTAGGTCTGAGTGAAGTGTTCCACATAACTGCGCAAATCCAGTTGCAACCTGCAAATTTTCCAAAGTTGTGTGCAAAAGCCGTTGTCTGCTTGCGGTCTTTTGCGTCTTATCTTATCTTATATAATATAGACGTTACTTCAAAAAAGATGATTACGTCCTACGCGTCATGCATTCAGTCATGCATTTTAAACAATGACTTAATTCTGCCAAGTCACTGGTTTTCCTGACTAGCTCTGGCAACCCATTCAATGCTCTAATAGCACTAGGGAAGAAGGAGTATTTGTACAAATTTGTCCTAGCATATGGGATGAGGAATGTACCTTTATCTTTGTGTCTTTCTGAGTATTTTATTAAATTTTGTTTTTGTATTTGAAGATATTTGTTCCGTGTTTTATGTATAATTGCTACTTTACTTTTGAGTCTTCTGTCCCGAAGGCTTTCTAAATTTAGTGATTTTACTAAATCACTGTCTTCAATAATGGCTCTTCTTTGGGTCTCAAATGTTTGTCCCACAGCTTTTTTGAGAGCTCTTCAACTGTCTGTCTCATCTGTTGTCTGAGAATACCTCCAGGTATTTTCCTCTATGCCAGTGAGGGCAAAATGGCGCCTGAATGGATCTTTCTAGCGCTTACAGAAGGCACCTCTGTAACTCCGTTCTACTCTAAGCTCACCAAAGAAGATCGCCTTTGTCATGCATTCGTCTCCCATGCGGGGTATGTGTTATTGACAGCATAAAAATTAATTAAAAAATGACATTTTGTTGAAATTGGCCCTCTCACGCTTCTTCTTACAGAGGGGCTATGGCGGATTTTTAAAAATAAAAATATGAAAAGAGGGCGGTAGACCAAAAAAGGTTAAAGACCACTGGATTAGACGATATTGGACCTCGCGACCTATTGGGTCGTCTGTTTCTGTTAGCGACGGTGTCTTGTGGCCAACGCAACGATCAACAGCCTTTAATTTTCCCCACTTGGGTGGATTCAGAGGCACATAAGGATCCCGAAATTTAAAATGCCACCAATATTCGTACAAGGGACCCCCGGTTCCGAAGCTAAGCGCCTTCCCTATTTCTCTAACCAAGTATAAATAGCATTTTAATTGAATGTTCCTGTTTAATAGGTACGTCACACACACATATATATATATATATATATATATATATATATTTATATATATATATATATATATATATATATATATATATATATATATATATATATATATATATATATATATATATATATATATATATTGATTTTTCAATAATTTCGCCATAATAATTCTAGTCAAACAACTGGTCATGACCAAAATATATGTGACTATCCTTAATGTTTCACATTTATGTTTGTATGTAGGAATTTAAACCGAAGAAACTAGTTAGTGAAATTGAAAAATACATTCATAATTACACATTCAATATCAATTTAACACAGATAGACAATAATACAATCAATAAACATGTTTTGCAATTGGTTTTCCTTTAATAGCTATAAATTAAAAAAAAAAGAAATACTAAATCTAAATATCAAATAAACATTTATAAGTATTTGTAAATAATGTTTATGTCATATAACAAAAAATTATATCAATATATTATTAATATATTATGATAGATCAGTTTTTCCCAAAGTGTGTTCCGCGAAAACCTATTGTTCCGCTAGGCCTGAATTGGTGTTCCACGAACTATTGGAGTAATTATTGAGTAAGGCTACAGGTGAATTAATTATAATGTAATACAACGACAAAAAATATATATATAATTTAATTTTATCACTATTCTCCATAACGGAAAAAATGTACAACAACATGACTTTGAACTTTGAACTGATCGAGATTGTGACTTTACTTTGAAATAAAAAACAAAGATCATCCATTACATAGTTTCAGATGGAGTTTGTCTGAAGAGTACTAAACTATTTCAACACATGGACTAGCTTACGTTTGCATCATACAATCTATTTGTGCCAAGCAGTGGTGTAGCTAGGGTGGGGGAGGAGGGGAAAAAATTTAAAATCCTCCCGCCCCCCCCCCCCTTTTAACCCTTAAAGGGTACCCTGGGGTACTGGAGCACCCCAGACAAAAAATAAATTGCAAATTCTCAGCCGCTTTTAACCGGAAGTACGTCATCGTTTGTTTACCTTCCTGTCATTATGCTGTGTTTACATGGCTGATAGTGTCGATTTTTTTCCGTTTTCGGTTTTAGCAGGGGAGGGGTCATTAATACTAATACTATATGTTTTTTGCTTGATATTTTTTCCAGTTATTTTCTTTTTTTAAATAATTCGGTAGAATATCCGGGTCGTCTCTAAGAAAATTTATAGTTACGCTATATATTTTCTGAATGCTCTAATTCCAACCCTAAAACTACACACAATCTAAATTTGGCACATATTGCACAATATTTTTTTTGTGTTTTTAGTGGACTGATTCAATGATTTCATAATGTAACGTCGAAGTACTAGTATTGACAATAAGCGTCGTCGCTTTCAAGCTATTGATGTTTTACGTGCAATAATTGATGAACCATCAGATGATGATGACGGTGATGAGGGATACGTGCAATAATTGATGAACCATCAGATGATGATGACGGTGATGAGGGAAGTGAAACAGAGGACGAGGTTATACAGGACATTTGTTCGGCTGATGAGGACACAGCTAGTAATGCAGCCACAGATCTTTCACTTGCTACTGGTGCCGGTCCCAGTACTCAGAACATTGGTGAAACTGAAGGGTAAGCTGAAGATTCAGATACAGAACCTGAAGAGCAAGCTGAAGATTCAGATACAGAACCTGAAGGGCAAGCTGAAGATTCAGATACAGAACCTGAAGTGCAAGCTGAAGATTCAGATACAGTACCTGAAGGACAAGCTGAAGATTCAGATACAGAACCTGAAGGACAAGCTGAAGATTCAGATACAGAACCTGAAGGACAAGCTGAAGATTCAGATACAGAACCTGAAGGACAAGGTGAAGATTCAGATACAGAACCTGAAGGGCAAGCTGAAGATTCAGATACAGAGACTGAAGGTGAAAATGCTATTGATTTGTTACAAGTCTTGAAAGTGCCAGTAAATCTAGCTGGCAAAAACAAGTACAAGTGGAGTGGTTCTGTACCGCTTAGGACACGCGCATACCACAGCGAAACAAGGTGACTGGTCAACCTGGCAATAAGGGTGAAGCAAGGGACATTTCATCAGGAATATTGGCATGGTCTTTGTTCTTCACTGATGATTTACTGAATGACATTGTGACACACACAAATGCTGAAATAGTAGTGCAGCGTCGCAGGTATGCAAATGACAGGCAGCCGGATAGTGATGATGATGACGATGATGCTGAGGAAGAAGTTCGTCCATCCTTCACCCGTAATGTGGACATTGTTGAACTCAAAGCACTAATAGGCTTGTACTACCTAGCAGGTGTCCTAAATATGAATGGTGTAACCACTTATGAACTGTTTGACAAAGACTGTGGAGTTGCATACTTTCGAGCCACTATGCCACAGAAAAGATTCATGTTTTTGACAAATTGTATCCGCTTTGATGACAAAGGTACAAGGCAAGAAAAAAGAGAACGTGATCGACTAGCACCCATTCGAGAGCTATTTGATAAAATTGTGAACACTAGTCAGCAGTTCTATACACCATCAGAATACTGCACAGTCGATGAACAATTGCTAGCTTTCAGAGGACGCTGTCCTTTCAAGATGTACATACCATCAAAACCTGATAAGTATGGAATCAAGATCAAGATGATGTGTGATTCGAAGAGCTATTACATGTGCATTGTGCAATGCTGAAGTGTATACAGGCAAAGAATCTATACCAGCTGGTGTTTGAGCTACAGAATACTATTCTGTTCAAATGACCACACCCATTCACGGAACGAACCGAAACTGTACCTTCGACAACTGGTTTACATCTATCAATACAGCTCGAAAGTTGTACGATGATCATGCAGTGACTATGGTAGGAACCATGAAGAAAAACAAAGCTGAAATCCATCTTCTTTTGTGGAACTTCGTGGTAGAGAAAAGAACTCAGCAATGTTTGCATTCAGAGGTGTTCTTACTCTTCTTCATACTGTCCTCCTAAACCTACAACGATCGCAAAAGTAAAACAAAGTGTTGCCGCTGTGACAAATTCATATGTGCCAGCCATCAACATACGATCTGTCCAGACTGTGCAGATGACTGACGCATACAGTAAGTAAACTACATGCGGTCATGTGAAAACATTATGACTTTTGTGGTACATGTATTACCTGTACTTCTGTTGAGGCGATAGTGACGTTAAAGTAAACAAATTGAACTTGTTTCACTGTTTTAATTATGAATTTTTAGCGGGGTACTGAGGTACCACAGGGTACCATTAGTGTTATTTTTTAAGGGTTAAGTAGGCCCCCAAAATGAGTTTCTTTTATATTACATATTAAATATTTCGCAAAATGAATGGGCCCCTAAAGAGGTCGAGCCCCCAAAGGGCCCCCAAATGATCGAAAATTTGTAGAAGCGCCCCTGGTGCCAAGCAGGACTTTTTCTTATAATGTTGCAAATTGCAACAAAATCAAAGTCTACGAACAGACTTGATCTCACAATTCATCTCACTAATATCGTGACTGGTATCAAAAAGACAAGACATCTGAGTCAATCAAACTTATATGTTCGTACGTTTTTGTATTCATTTAATTATAGGCCTGGTAAAAAAAAAAATCCCTTGTTATATAATTGAAAATAATTAGTAAAACTAAATTTAGAATAAAATTTAATTATTAAGATCGTTTTATTCAAACGATTGGATACACTGGTATAGATTAATAAGTAGAACTTGAAGAGAGGAAAGAGAATTACAAAATTATTTAAAAATCATAATCAGGTCATCTTATGGACTGTTCAAATTTATATACAAGTTTGAAATATCAAAATGTTAATATGTATTCATTGTAGACTTCAATATCCCCGATATTAATTGGAAACAACTATAATTAGCAGTAGGTGTCCTAATAACCAAAACGGTATGAAGTTGGAATAAAAAAAAAAAAAGGCATGAAAAAAAAAAAAAAAAAGAGAAATGTAAAAGAGGCGTAAGCCCATATAAAAACTCACAAGCCCTCTTAAAAAAAACATATTCATTATATTTTTTGGGGGTTACTTCTAAGGAGAAACAGAAGGAGCTGAACGCACTCGGAAAATTGCAGTTCCCTGATGTGAGAAAACAATGGAAGGGGACGATCTAGGTGTAGAATGGGATACATACAATTAAAAACGTGTTGTTTTCATTTTTGATTAGTAAAAGCATGTAAGAATCTTTCTTTCTCTCTCTAGTTTACTTTCTCTAACACGCTCTGTTTCAACCTCTCGTCTTTCTTAGAAAAATAATTCTCACCTTCTCTAGCACTCTTTGAATCTTTGTCCCTTATGCTCGCTAAAATGTTTCATTGCATATAAGCTTTCGCCCACAACATCTTTCTCATCTCTCTTTCTTGTCTATCTAACAAGCTCTCTTTTACACTCTCTCTTTTACACTCTGTCTCTCTCACTGTTTTACACTCTCTTTCACTCTTATAAACATCCTCGTACACAAGCACGAACATGTTTTTTTTTCTCTTTTTTTCCACTGCACTCTCTATCCTCTCGCTTTCTCTCTTTCTCTCTCTCTTTCTCTGCCTCTCTCTCTTTCTCTCTATCACTGTCTATCGCTCTCTCTGTCTCTCTCTCTTTCTGTCTTTCTCTCTTTCTATCTGTCTCTCTCTCTGTCTCTTTCTCTCTCTGTCTCTCTCTCTCTCTGTCTCTCTCTCTTTCTCTCTGTCTCTCTCTCTGTCTCTTTCTCTCTCTTTCTCTCTCTCTTTCTCTCTGTCTCTCTCTGTCTCTCTCTCTCTCTTTCTCTCTCTCTTTCTCTCTGTTTCTCTCTGTCTCTCTCTCTGTCTCTCTCTCTGTCTCTCTCTCACACATACATATACAAGTTTGCTCTCTTTCTTGACAAAACTCTCTCTGAAGGGCTCTCCGTCTTCGATGGTCTCTGCAATAAATGTTCCTTCATCTTATTTCTGTCTCTCTCAAATAGGCATTAGATCTCTTTCTCTCTCTCTCTCTCTCTACTAAGCTCTAACTAAGCTCTCGTAAGCTCTTTCGTTTATGTTTTTTTGTTTTTTTACTTTCTCTTTTTATAATTAAACTTTCTCACCTTAATTACTTCCTAACGAACAAACAGCTTTTACTTCTCTCTAGCCGCTCTCTTATTACTTTCTCTTTACAATAAGTTCTCAATCTCTTTTATTCTTCTTTGTCTTGAATACTTAGGTTTTTAATTACTAGAGGTATTGAGCCAATTATCCATTTCTCGTTTCCAAAGTCTGGAGGAAATGTAAGTTTGAATTCTTCCGGGAGCCCGCAGATAACGCTTTCACTGGTTCTCTCCACATAGATGGCTACGTTTTCATTGTTGAACTGTGTGTTTAAAGTATAACTAGTCTTCTTATGGAATCTGTCTTTCTTATAAATATCTAAAAGTTTCGTAAAGTTCGCCTTTACCATTGATTCTATTGACCTCTCTCCGATAGAAATAATGTATCCACATTCGTTTATAATGTTAAACAAAGAATTATTCTCATTAATTTTTGACCATTCTTCATTAAATCGTTGAACTCTGTGACGTAGGAATTTAAATATTTCAATGTCATTAGAAACGCAAGTAAACAGTGTCCAATTTTGTAGAATGCTAGCCATGCGGACACATTTACCTTTCAGGACAGCCCCAGGAGTTTCAGTACCTTCGATCATCAAAGTGACATCGGTTTTCTTCGCTTCCTCGTCATCAAATACAATATGTCGCGATGTATACACATTGATCTCAACTAAATATGGAAACTCGTTTGTTGATCGTTGATACTTCTTTTTCCCATCATGTTCTTTTGATTTTACGCTGACTATCCGGCCAATTCCAGTTCTTAAGCCTCTCTTGACATCGTCATTAGAGGAGTAGTGACTAGGATAAGGGATGACAAATCCTGGCCACGTTTCTGGTCTTGTTTCACTTACATTGTTTATGGACAAAATTACCATCAGGTCCAATTGAGAGTTAATCAAATCCTTTATAGAATCATATGTCATAGGTTCCGGCTTAAGATTTTCAGCTTCCTTTTTATCTTCTACATTCTTCATATCTAAAGAGAAAAAAAGTGTACACATGTTATCATACTGAACATTGTCAAAATAAGATGCATATTGATTTAAAACAAATATTATTAAATGTTAATTAGATGTTTCCATATAATGCTCATTATTAAAGATATACACATCTAGTCGACCTGCGGCGTAGCATACACCGCTATCTTGCAGGCCCGGGCTTAGGCTACTGCAAACTATGCGACCAAAGTGGGCCCGCACTTTAATAGGACCCGCTGTAATTCAAGGTGTAGAAATTATTAAATTAAACCATTTTATAACTTAAAACAGATTTCCCGCGCCCTCCTGACGATTTACCAGGAGCTCCAGGAAATCTCCCGAGTTGCAAAATATACGAAAAAGTCCTTAAAATATACGAAAATATATGTACAAAAATTCTCATATTGGGGTGTCATTCAATTTGGAAGACAATGGTTGAATCCGGACCTGCCATTTAGTGACGGGTAAATATTATTAGTAGATTACTTGTTATCTTTCCATGACTTCTTGGTCACAATGGTTAAGTCCGGCGCTGCTATTTAGTGTTTGTAAAATGTTTGTTTGTAAAATGTTTTACATGTTTCGGATGTTCTTTCAGAGTTAAGAGTTTACTACCTAGTCCAAACCTCCCGCAGGACGAAGGGGGATAGGTAGGGTTTGAACCCGGGACTATCGATAAATCCAAACGTTAGTCCAGCTCGCAAACCGCACGACCA